GTCTTCTGTAAGTTTGTAATTTTTATATAAAATCAGTAACTATACTTTTCTCATTTGTTGTCACAAGTAAATAATAATGTTAAGAAAATAAACAAAGTATTTGTTACTTTTGCTAAATTTGTGGTGCAGCTTTTTACCTGATATTTTCATTCATAAGAGATATGATTACAGAAATTGGTTGATGTCATAACAAAACAGAGACAGCCAATCTTAGTATTTACAGACATTTCCAGAATATATACACTATGAAACTTGAAAAACAGCATCAGATCTCTAATTCAACCCTTTCTGTTCAGAATTCAAAGATTGCTCACCCAGTTAGACATGGTTTTTGTTTCAATATACATGGCTATATCTGTCACATTAAACCATCACCAACTTGTGTGTTAGAATAACAGCTGAATGTCTTTAAAGGGATGTGAAAATGTCTCCTAAAATAGAACTCCAGATTTTATTGCCAAAAGCCATGTACTTTATCAGTGTAGAAAGTTGAAAAATCTTTTGCTGTGGCTCAAATTAGGATAAAATGCCTTACTTATCTATAGCCATGACAAAGATTATGATTTAAACACAAGCCAGGCTATACCATCATGTGTATCTCTAAGAAATATCGACTGTGAGAATTTACAGAATTCTCTGTGGTAATCATCTGTACTCAAAAAGCACTGAAACATTAAAGGCTAACCCCTTGAAGCAGGAATATTGTTGTGGAGCAAAGAGTTCACCCCCAGTGACCCTATGAACTCATCCAATACTATAAAGAGTTCTATGGTATAAGGTTGTGGGTAGTCACACTGGAGTCAGTTTTCATACTAACTATATAGGTATTACAGCAATAGCCTAAGCATTATATACAGATATTACTTAATGAATTACATTATATCAAGTACGTGTGTGGGCTATAACAATAACCTTACAATAGGAAGTTACAATAAATACCATTATTTGATGGCATAAAAGATGCACTTTAAAAAATCGCCATGCATCTTTTGTGTAAAGTTGAGGTCACCTATAGGTTAATTTTATCCCCAATGTAAGGTTAAATTTTAATTCAGATGGCCACTTCTACCTAACAAAATTCTATAATAATATGATTTACTCAAACAATGTTATTAATATTATTAGAAGTCTTATAAATGCAATTATTGTACTAAATACTGGCAACATTCATTGGTAATAGCTGATCCATCATACCTAAATGTACTTGAACAGCTTATGGAGAAGGTAATATGGAAGATCAAATATCAAAAGTGATTTGTGCTGTAGATATCTCAACAAATGATGACCCATCAGCTAAGTCAGTTGAAATGGAAGGCAATCAAATTAAGACATAAGTTGAGAATAATAAACATACTTGAAATATCTGTGTCAAGCACTGAAAATGATTTGTATAAGTTGGTTATGTTAGTCACTTTTATGTGTGGCTTCCAATTAAGTGCAAAAACAATAAGTACTGGATATTTTGTGTCACAGCCAATGAAAAGTAGATATTTAGAACAACATAGAAAGAAAAAGATAATAGATTTAAATGAAATGACCCCCACCCATAAACCAGAAACAGTTTTCATTCAAATAGGTGATGTCACACATGGAAGCATTCACAGGGATCCATTTATTATAAATTCTTTCCAGTGAACCAAATGATTGTTTTGAACAAGTACTGTTTCCAATTAGACAAGTTGAACTCAGCAGTTAACAAAACATTAGAATTAGTTAAAAGAAAGCTGATAATATTCCATAAAGAGATGAGTAAATTGTAGATTACTTTGAATATTCCTTCAAGATAATGCTAAACCAAATACTATTTTGGTGACTATTCAAAAATTGTTACAACTTGGCTGGAAAGTTTTCATTCATCCACCATTTTCAGCAGATATTTTATCTTTGGTTTATAATTTATTCTAAGGTTTATAGAATTCTTTTGAGAGACCGAAGAATGCATATAAAGCAATTCTTGGGTCAGAAAGATAAAATGTTCTTGGACAGTGGAATTAGGAAGTTGCCTGAAAGATGGCCAAATACAGTGCAAGGAAATATATTATTTAATAAAGTTAATGTCAAAAGTGAAAAAAATGTCCTTTCAGTCAACCAAATGAATTGTTTTTCACCATATAATTTGAAACAGTCTTGTGAAACTTTGATTTACTTGTTTATAAATTCTCTCCAATAAATTTTATTCTATTGAAGCTATATTTTTAAGAAGCTTAATTTAATCTGGTACAAAATCACAATTTCAATTCACTTTGTTAAACCTGAACTTGTTATCAGCAACTTCTGAGGTCAATTTGGATTCCAGTGTAAAATGATATAAATAGAAAAATAAAAAAAAACAAAACACTCAATGTAATTTGCAATCTTGTTCTCAGACATGTTAAGTCTGGCCAATAAATTTTTCAAGTCGACATTTTACAATCTTTACAGAGTGTAATGAACTTTTATCAAAAGAAAAAAAGATGCCATTACACTGATCTCGACATGTTAAAAGAATTAACTACATCAGATAAACACACTTAATACAACTCAATTACAATACGGATTTTATTTTTTACTTTGGAGATTCTCAATATTTTTGAAAACTTTTATTTAACTAAATGGTTTGTCAATTCAAATGTCTTTCAATGATTTCAAGCCAAATTTTAAATGAAAATAAAAAATGCTTGACAAAAATATTCTGAAACACTTTCTAAGATGTCGGTTCAAGGAGGGAACAAATAACTGAGATCTGTTTGCCAGATTATCGTTTCCCTTTTTTTTTTCAAACAATATAGAACAAAGGTCAGAGAATGACCTGTTTTTTTGTTTGTTTTTTTTTTTTTTTTAGCTTTCTGTGTATCCTATTTTAATTGTTGTAGTTATTAAAAATGGTGGAGTGATTAGAACATTCACTTTCCAACTATGAGATTCATGGTCAGTCTATCAGGAATATGACTTTTTGATGTAGTGATCCCAGCATGCAACACTGTTGGAAAGTACCTAAAAATCACACCATGGGTTGATACAAGCTTTGTGAATGAAATTGGGTCAATGACAGTTTGTGGTAGCATAACTATTGACAACTTCCAAAGTCACAAGTTATCATGACTGAGGGTTTGAGCATAATGGCATTGTTCAAACTGTTTATCATGCCAGATTATTCATTCATCTGCCAGAAACTGTGACTAAGTCCAGCTCAGATTAGTTGCAATGTAAACCATGCATTGACTTGGTGGGTGTTGACCAAACACAAATATACTTGAGCAGATTTCTGCAATAGGGATTGGATAGTTCTCATAGCACATGGGTGTGTTCGGAAACGAGTAGCTAGCAATGATTAAATATAGAACATTCCTCTTCTGTTTACATTATTCGGACTATTGTCCTCCTCTTTGTCACCATGTTTATCACAACATTTTAGTCGTTGTACACCTTTGCCTTCTTCAGGTGGTTGGAATGTTGAACTGAACCCTTTATTTCACTCACTAGGGTAGACTGTTCTAGTTCCACGTGCCATGTCTCATGGATGTCAGTTATCTCCTGTTATCTTCTGAAAGTTCTCTACTGCCTTAGCCAAATATTGAATTCACACTCTTTGGGTCCTGTCACTGGATCTAACACCTTTATTCACTGTGCCATGTGTCCTCAAGGACATTAATTTCTGAACATTGAAAAACCCTTTTTTCCTGATTTTCGATTTCAACATGTACATTAACAACATACATTTGCTTAAACAAAATTTTTTGGTACAGAATTTCAAAACCTAGTACTTTATTATCTATTTTCCTTCAAAAACTTATTTTTTTGTTAGGGAAAAGAGTGACTAAAGCTAAGGTAGATGTGATAGAGTAACTACAATGTCAGTAGGCATTGGTAAGAAAAACTGAAACCTTACCAAAGTGAAATTCAAATAACAAGTAAATGTATAAACATCACCCCAAGAGATTACATGAGAAGAAGAATCCACATTTGGGAAAAGCCCCAAAGACAAACACCCATTTTTAAATTATTGTTAAATTCACAAAATTCAGAGTGACATAAACAATAATTCCATGTATGAGAGAGTTTTAGTGTTGTGTTTCCATTACTCGACAAGATAACATTACACATAGATGATCAGAAATGTGATGCGTAAATTATTAAAGAATAATGTATTGGACTGTTATGTCATGTTTGTACTCCTCTAAGGTGAACATTAGAAATGTACTTTTAAATAGCAGTAAATATTATAAACTTTCATTAAAAGTAGAAAGTAGACTTGAAGCAATCAAAATGTGCTTTTACCAAAATGTTGATTTGTTGATTCATTTTCTGCATCTTATCAACTCTTTGTAGGTTATTTAAAACCAGAAAACATTTTTTAGATTGTAAGATTTTTTAGTTTTAATGATACAAGTCTTGCTAATTAACCATAGATGAAGGGAGAAGAGGTGGATTCATGTCCTTTCCCAAGGGTATTTGCGTGTAAGTGAATCTCTCTTCTTGTTCTTGTAACGGCATTCACCCGACGTGGGTTGAGCTGGCTCCAATATTGGAGTTTCATGGGAATTTGGAATTCATAAGCAGTCCCCAACCCGCATGTATAGCACATGATATTTGATTATAGTGGTGAAGGTTTTGTACAGGACCATCAACACTTTTTGAGGGGCCGATTACAGAGACCTGATGCACTACGTGCCACAAGGTCCCCAAATGACCATCCACAGGTTTTGAATTCAGAGTTTTCCTTCTCCTAGACCAGTTGCCATCCAAGGCTATAGAACCCAGTCTGTCCTGCTATTTACCCATAGCTGGAGGGAGAAGAGGATTCACACCTTTCCCAAGGATATTAGCATGTAAGTGAATGTAATGGATTCAACTGGAATTCGAACTCGGCTCTCCGTTTCCTCAATCCAAGCCGCTATCCATTACTCCACCGTGCCTCCTAAGTAGTGTAAGTGAATGTAATGGACCCAATCGTAATTGGAACTCAGCTCTCTGATTAACAATTCTGAACCATTATCCATTACATCACCTGCACATCCAAGCTTACAACTCTTGGTATTCCCAAGTGGTCACCCATCTGGATACTGAGAAGACTCACTGTTGCTTCACTTTGGTGATCATATGGGGACCAGTGTTTCAACATGATGTGGCTGTAATCCATCAAATTTTCAGAATAACATGGACAGAGCATGGGATGAATGCAGAAGTTACAAGAATATGAAGTGTTTTTTTCATGTTGGAGAATAGATGATAGTCAGATAGAGCCAAATAAAGAGAATACAGAGGGTGTAACCAAATCAAAGCCACAGTCACATACGACAACCATTGAAAACAAGGACTTGTGTACTGGAGCATTGTCCTGATGAAACAAGACTTCTTCCTGGGAATTTTGGTCTGGATAGTCTTCTGTAACCACATCAGCAACTTGGCATAGTACTCTTCCTTGATGGTGTGGTCCTTTTGAAAATAGTCAATAAACACAATTCTTTTTGCATCCCAAGAAGCAATCACCTTCCCTGCAGAGGAAACAATCTTAGCCTTCTTTGGAGCATGTAAGGAGAGGTTTTTCCATTGTATGGATTGTCTCTTTGTCTCTCGTTCAAAGTGATGAACCTAACACTCCTCCTGGGTTAGGAAATGTTCACAGAAATCAGCTGGATCTGTCTCAGACAATGTCAGTTTTTCCCATGATGTGATCAACCTGATGTGTGTCAGAAGAGAAAGCACCTATCAAGCAGAAACCTTTGTCATGCCAGGTTCATTGTGTAGAATATTCTCAACTCTCTCATGGCATATGATAATATTTGATGTATAGTCAATCACCCGTCATCCATCACTATATGGTAAACACAATCAATGTTTTCCTCAATGGTGGCAGTTGCAGGATATCCAGACTTTAGGTCATTTCCCTCCTAAATTCAACTGCCCACTTTTGTACTGTTGATAAAGCTGAAGAATTATCCCTTAATGTAGCAACCATGAATGTCCTTGTGAGCTAAACCCTTTTTCTGCAGGTACTTGATAAAAACCATCATTCAAATTTTGTCTGTTTTCAAGAGAAATTGTTACTAGTTACTTTTGAAGTCTTCTTTGAACAATCAGATGTCAGTTTACCTGGAAAGAAACAATGTAGTTATTAATAAGAAGAGTTGAAATGAATGCATGCAAGATTTTACATTTCTAATTTCACTCCGTCATGAACTTTACAGCCCCAACCTCAGACCTGGAAAGAAACAATGCAGTTCTTATTAATAAGAAGAGTTGAAATTAGCACATGCAAGATTTCACAGCTTGAGAATCACACCTTCATTCATCAGCCTATGAACTTTTCAGCCCATTCTTGTATATATAATGTTATAGAATATAAATTATTATGGTAGTCATTTTGGAGGAGATCTTGAACTTCTTAAAGGACTGAAAGTTGAATGAAGTTCTCCTTGCTATACAAATCAGATTAAAAATAAACTATATACAAAATGTCCAGGTTCAGTCAAAATTCTGCCAGCCAATTAGTAACAATCAGAAAAGAGACATCTGACATTTTGAGGACATGATAAGGAAAGAAGGCTTAGAGAATTTAATACCCACCAGACACAAAGAAGGCAAAAGAAGTAAGGAGGAAGCTACTTGACAAATTTAAGCAAAGGGATCAAGGAAAATTTATTAGGACAGAGCAGTGAAACAATTATTAGAAACAACCAAAGGCAGGAAGCTGTGGAAAATCATGATTGCCCATGTCCTTAATGATTCTTACAAAACAAAAATGATTGTTTGTACATTTGTCATGTGTTAATTATTCATGTGTAGTTGCCTTGTCAGCAACTGATTGGCTGCTTGTAGACCTGAGTTAATCAGTGAGAATGTAAAAGAAATTAAAATTTCATGATTTAAATGTAGCTGATTTTTGTGAATGTTCTGAATTTCAGAAAAGGAAGGAAATCAGATTTCTTTAAGGAGAAAGAGAATTATGAAAATATAATAGTATGCAAGTGAAGGAACTTAAATAAGAGAATCTGCTTGATTTGATGAAAAATCTTTCTCTGACAAATTACTGGAGATAGAATTGAAACTGAATGAAATGACCCAAAACAGGGAAATATTGAAGGATTATGTGCTTACAAAAGTAGCAACACATCTTTCTTTATCTTTTTCTTTGTTTTTTTTTTTTTTTTCTTCTCTTTGATTGTCTTTCTGCTTTTTGGGGTTTTTTTTCTTCTTTTCTACATTTTGTTTGTTTTTTCTTCTTTTCGCTTGTTCTTTTCTACATTTTGTCTGTTTTCTTTTTACTTTGTTTTTCTTTTTTTTTTCTTTTTTTGATTTTCTGTTTCTTTTTTGATTTTCTGTTTCTTTTCTGCTTATCTGTTTCTTATTTTTTTCTGTTTGTTTTTTTTTCCTGTTTCTTTGGGTTTTTTTTTCATTTTATTTGTCTTCTCTTTGTTTGTTTTTGTTCCTCTTGCTTGTTTTTTTTTCTTTTATCTTTACTGCAGTGAAAGTGTTAGATGAATTTAAGTACCTCAATTCAAAGTGAATATTAAAAAAAACACTACATGGTTTATACACATGCAGTAAATTATTATTTTTTTATTCATTTGCATCAGCCTTGGCTGCAGTAAACAATTTATGTGTTAACTGAAAAAGTATCAAATGAAATGAAGATTAAACCATTTTTTTTGTAGATACAAGTTGACTTTCTATTCAGTGACTTCGAGATGAACACGTTTGCCTGGAATTCCTTTCATTTTATTTTTTTTTTAGATGCAATACAAAGGAAGGACTTAACAAGTGAAAAAAAAATGATAGCCTGATACTATCTGTACATTTTTATGATTGCATACATTCTCTAAAAGAATTCTAAAATGATATTTTAAAAAAATTTAAATAGATTTCTACAAGTTTCAACAAAATAAGTAGAAATATATTCTTTTCTTTATTGTGTCACAGAATTTGGAAATCCTTAAGTTTCCAAATTCTGTAATGATTCTTGGCAGTTTCTTTGTTATTCTAAACTGTCACCATGGAAAAATCACGTCACAGAAAAGGATTGGAAAATAAGACAAACTCAGCACTTAGATAAAATCTATCAATGTCTGTCAGACAAGATGTCAATCTTAAAAAGAAAAGTTTCTTTAACTTCTCTACACTAGTCATTTAAGTGTCATAAACTTTAGTTTTCCAAGAATAAAAAAAAAATATTAGTTTTTGGGTCATGTTGAGTTTGAAAACAGGAAATAAGAAAAATTATTTAAATTAAGTTTTATTTTTAACTTGAGGCTATTCATATCTAATTTAATTTCAGTGTTGACATATATCTAACATAGTAAGCAATTTTGTGGACTTACAGGCAATCAATTAATGTTAGTAAATCAAAATTGCTTTGATTTTTATAGATTATTAACCATTTTTAGGTTATATAAGCTGAAAAATATTTTAAATTGTAGGAATAATTTTTCTTTTACAAGTGAATATTGCATTAATATTTTTTTTTTTAAGATAACAATGATTTTTCCAGTTATAAGCCCTACTTTTTAACCCATTGCTGGAGGAGATGGATTCATACCTTTCCCAAGGGTATTTGCACATAAATGAGTGTAATGAACTCTACTGTAATTTGAACTCAGCTCTCTAAAAAAAATGAATATCTTTTGAAATAACAGCATAAATATTCTCAGATTGCATGTTTGTTACCATCATTTGCTGATATGTGTTTCTGGATACACACAGATAAAACAGAAGTTTTTATTTAAGCTTTTGTAAGGCAAAACATGTTTTGTACAGAATGTGGAATCAGTGAGCCAAGTTCAAATTCTGGTTTAGTCTCTTGCATTCATTTGGGTTAATACTAAGGTTGTAACCATTTTACAACCTTATGTTCCTGTATTAATAAACATTTGTCTGAAAAACAAAAGATATAAACATTTTATTCAATATCTGTTGAGAAAATGTCACCCTTAAATAAAAAGAGTTTATTTTTGCACATAAAGTTTATATTTAATTTTACATTTCATATTTTTAAATTTTTTATATTGTCTAATACAAACATTTGAATGACTCACAAATACAATTATAGTTGAACATCACTGCTTATTGCTTAGAATAAATTGAAAGAATTTCTCATTGTTTTGTAGGCATCATACAGTTCCTACATCACTTTCAATGCATATTCCATGCACTGATTACTTTTTGGCTTCTTGAATATGGATGGCTTCTACTTCCAGTGGTTCTCTAGTGAGTGTAAAGTTTTTTTTGTAAATTTTCAATATTTCTGATAAGTACTTAAAATTATTTTCATTGGACATCTGATAATTAAACCAATACTCTGGCCAACTATATGAAATGGATCTGCATCTTTTGTCCAGTGTCTTCCCTGTTACATGTAAAAGAATGAATGTAAGTATGATAAGAATGGCTCTTGAATTCCACCTTGCAATATTTGGAATTTTCTGAAATTCAATCAAAGGCAAATGTCCTTTTTCTTCTAAGAATCTAAAGACCCATGTTAAATGGTACAAAAACTCACCCTTCTGATTTATCTATGATCTCTTCCATTCCATTAATGAACTGTACTTTCAGTTTTTCATAATTCTTTACCATTTGTAATGCAAGTGGATATTCAGTAGGTGGAGTCTATCACAGAGGTGATCATCACAAACTATATAGGGGGGGTAGAGGTTTCCAGTGGAAAATTAAGTTAGTCTTCAGTTGACAGAAAATGCTACAACATATAAGCAGTAATTTTAAGTTTATGAAGATTTTTTTTTTTTTGAGATAATGGATTTTTTTTAATCATTTCACCCAAGCAAGGCAATAAAGCCGCTACAACTCAGAGGGGTTATTGAATGTAAAAGAAAAACATTATTAAGGAGCAAGAGAAATAAAAGAAGAAGAATCGAGAAGATGGTAGATAATGATTGATGTTGCATTTAAGTTTTTGAAAATCAACATTGGCTGGAAAGCAAGAAACCAGAAGAGAGTTCCACAGGTGTGTAGTGTGAGAAAAGAAACTGTTAGCAAAGAACTTATGGTTACATCTCATCAATTCAACTGTAAAATGATGAAACCTTGTTGTCAATTTCATAATATGCTTAAATTCATAAAGTCTGGGTATGATAGAGCAAAGTTCATCAGAACAATTATCATGAAAGTATTTATAAAA